AATTAATGTATGTAAGTTACCTCTTTTGTCTTTGTCTTTGATAATGTATATTCACTTGCTGAATAGGAAAACTAGAATGACATAAAATAATGAGAAATGCCAAAGAAATAAAAGTATAAGCATTTAAGGACTTGAATTCAAATGTCATATATCTATACCACAAAGCGAAACAGCTGATAAGACTATTGCATTGATAAAAGCTGGACTTTTGTCAGGCGTTGTTAAGGCAAATTTCAGTATAGAAAAAATCATATGTACCATACCTGGCAGAGATTTGTTTCTTAAGGGAAAACATAGTTCCCAAATTTAACATTTTTTATCGGTGTATCAAGTACATAACTATAACATATGCTTTTGATCCCATTCCTTTTCAATTTTTCTTGATACGTGCCCCCTTAGCTACATACTCCAACTCCATGATACTTTTAATATTCACCTGCTTTTATGTTTGCTGCCTAAAGGAATTTAACTTGTCTTGAGTGGTTTCTGTGTGCCACCTCTTTAAGTTTCAACAACCCTAATTTCTCCATCTAGCAAAATTAAGATCCAAAACAAACTCTCCCCTCCATTGTAGAATATTACTTTTTACATATTTTTCCTTTTAAAAACACATTCATTTTCCACTGCTTCTCCTTCTAGCCTTTTCTCTCTTCCTTTAATTTTCAAATTCCCAATGTGACCCATTTGTTCTGTGGCTTTCATTTCCTTGGCACCTGCTCATAGCTGCAGTCTGCCCTCCACCACTTCCTTTAAACTTCTTTCTCCAAGGTTTCCAAAGGCCTACTAATTGCCAGAATCCTGTCTTTTTTTCCATTTTCCTGTTTCCACAGTGCATGGTGTCAGAGGTAGCAGAGGTGGTAACAGAAAAGGGGTGTCCTCAGTGAGTGGCATATTGGTAGATATTTGACAAGCAGCTCTTCAGTTATAGCTTTTGCCAATTTCCATGGTGTAAATACTCCCAGCATGGATGATGTTAGCCTCCCAATGTGATGTCGCCGAACATGGACTGGGAGTCTATGCGAACAATCAGCTCTGGAGAGCTGGCTCCACTGCATATCTGTTTTGGGATGCTATTAGACCTTGGCTTTTGCAACATGAAGCATGCTGTTTCATTTTCTATCACACCAACTCTAGTTTCTCTCTATTCTTTTATTGCGTCTATCTCTTACTTGTGGCCCTTCATTGTAGACTTAATTGAGAGTTCAATTTGTCTTTCCTTTATTCTCGGCCTGGGCATTTTCTTCTGCTGTCATGCTTTTCATCATTACTTTATCCTGAGTGATGCTAAGCCCTTGACTGTTCCCTGGAGATCAGCTCCCCATTCCAATTTCTTATCATATACCCTCTCCTTTACCTCACACTCAGTAGGGCTAAAACTAGACTTCCTATCTTGCCTTCACCCCAAAAGCACTCACTTTCCTATATGCCAGACATGGCATGAGGTGCCTTGGATACAAGACTTGGAAGTTAGTACCCATATTTTATGGATGAAAAAATTAGAAGTTCAGATAATTTGATTAATTTACTCAACCTGACCCATGTACTGGGTACTGGAACGCAGCTGTGAAGCCAGGTTTTGTACTGTGACACACTGAAACCTATCTTGCTTTCCGTTACACCATAATGCTTCTCAGTTAATGGAACTGTCTGTTTTTATCTCACACTGAATTAACATATGCATGTTTGCATTTTTCTTAACTGTTAATAATTACCAGTTCTGTCTGTTTATACATTGGGTCATTGTTTGTGTAAGTCTCTATCGCCCTTGTATGCTATAAACTTCTGAAAGCAACAGTCATACTATATTAATAATTTTATTCCTTTATGTAACACAATTCCTTGTACTGGTAGGTGCTCAATATTTCTTGGTTTAATAAGTGAAATAATTACTTAATGAACAGTGTATTTCAAATATTTCTATTGTACTTGTGTTACAGTAGTTCTTTTCTGTCATCTGTGCAGAGAGCAACCAGGGATGTTATATATAGCAAATCAAATTTTGCACCAAAAAAATATTCAGATTTAGTTTGTTGCAAAGAAGAAAAAAATGGGATGCAAAATATACTTATTTTAGTACAAATCATGAAGTCTACTGTTACCCTCATATTTTTGCCCTGTTGCTATTGTATCCATTTCTAGGCAGCTTATGGTTTAGACTTCAAGGAATATCAAATGAGTTTAGGGCAAAATCCCTCCTTGAATTTTGGAGCAATTCAGGAGACTGGTAGGAAGTCTTTTTACATTTTCAGATCTTAATTTTAGGCTCCTGGACTCAACAATCTATCCAAATTGCTCTGAATGGCAAGAGCGGGCCACACTGTCCTGCTCTAAGTACACATTGCCACAGGTGAGGCAGTCATCTTTCCCTCTGCCTAAGTGAGTCCTATCATTCGACTTCGGAATCCAAAGTTTCCAGCTCCCGCATCATCATGGTGCGTTTCCTGCTCCATACAGCACTGAGGGGCTGCTTCATGACTGAGTCTGCCTCAGGCTTTTCCATACAGAGCAATCCGTGTGCCGTAGCAAGCTATGCGATGCAGAGCTTGTCTACCCAGGAATGTTGGTGGGGCCATTTTGACTGCCTCTGACCATGAAGATACTTTGAATCTGTAGAGTAGTGAATGACCCCAAAATTACCTGTTTGGGGTTCCTGAGAGACACCTGTTTTCTGTGATACTGTGCTAGCACCTTGGTACTGAAATGCTCTTGGTTGCTGTACATCATAAAATATCCTCAAATACATCTTTTATCAGACTCAGTCACTCAGGGCCTTAGAATCAAGTCTTAGATGGCTTTAGCTGTAAACACCATTATTTTAAACAATACATAACAAATTGAAATAATGTATGTAGTTGTTAGTTCAGCATCAGGGACAATTAAATGAGTGCAACATAGAAGGCAGGTCTCAAAGCTTTTACAGAGCTTTACCCACTCCAGAATAATTGACTTGTTGCATGCGTCTTTGCATCTGAGCAGTAACAGGCAGTGTTGAGTCTGGCAGAAAAGCCCTATTAATATGCCTCATCTTATCTCCCATTGCTGAGCTATTAGTGGCGACCTGCACTTTTAGGGAGTTTGGTTTCAATGTGAGTATTCAGAAAAATAGAAAAGTAGATGAGAGAACACCTCATTCATATTCTATCAGTGGTAGAAGACATAATTCTTTATGAATCAGGTTGGTGAGGGTAAAGCCTACATACAAAAATCTGGGATGATTTCTGTTGCTGCATCATGACCTTGATATGCTATAGCTGTGTCTCCCCTTCTCTACCTTGTGGAATCAAGCTTTGTCAAGAGAGGTGAAGATTGGGCCGGTCGAGTGGCGCGATGGTTAAGAACTGGCTTGGGATGCCAGAGGGCCCCGGTTCAGATTCCACATATGAGGGCCAGTGACACTGCCCTCCACAGCTAAGATGCTGAACAACAGCTCAACCTGGAGCTGGGCTGCCGTGAGTCACCGGCGACAGCATAGGCTGCAGCCCTGTGACAGTGGGTTGCCATGGGCTACTGTATGTAGCCAGCAGCCAGTGTGAGCGGCCAGCAGCTGCAGTGAGCGGCCGTCCAGAAGCCGGAGACTGATGTGCCTCACCCGGGAAGAGCGCAATGATGGTGCCAACTTGGGCCAGTGAAGCAACGTCCTCCACAACTAGACTGAAGAACAAAAGGACAGCAACTTGTCTGTTCCCCTTCCCCCAATTCCCCAGCACTGTTCCCATCCCCCCAATTCCCCAATAAAAATCTTTAAAAAAAAAAAAGAGAGAGGTGAAGATACTGGTGTTCATGGCACTCAAGGAATGCAGGAATGCCAATTTGGACAAATAACATCAAATTATCTTTTCAGCCTGATGCCTAGCCTTTTATGCAGATTGAATTGAAGCATAATGAAACTCCTTACTTAGGCCTTTCGTCCTTTTAAGTTGTAGAGTATACGGAGCTGTCAGAGGAGGGTGAACACTTATATCCCGAGGCCCTACTTCATGTGATGTTACTGTTCATAGAGGCCCTATTTTAAGAAAACAACTCTGCATAATATTTAGCTCAGCCTGTGTTCCTACATTCTGCAAGTGATAAAATTACAAATGAATTAGTTTAGTGAGCCCAAATAAGTAGCAAGTAATAAAGTTTATATTCCAAATATTCCAATTATAACTGCAGAGTTCATTTAGTTGTTTCCCTAGAGAAAATTCGTTTTAAGGTGTGTGTGTGTGTGTGTGTGTGTGTGTGTGTGTGTGTTACAATTTGTCTTATGGTTGGCCTTTGTCTCTATTCTCTCCCAGCCTGGTTGCCTTGGTTACCATTATACGCATGCTTGTACACGAAGATCCTCTTTGACGTACATTTATTTCTATGGAAACAATGATGTCATTGGTACGGGTGGGTGCTTAGAGAAAGAAAAACAAAGTGTTGAATATTGATCTTTCTTGTGGTAAAAAATGTACCATTAAATCACTTTTTTAATTAGAGAACTATATTTTTGCTTTCCTTTTGCCTTGATCATGAAGCCACATTTTTCCTTGTGTACAGACTTGCTCAAATAAAATGACTTAAAGTAGTACCATACTGTACAGCTCCTTATGATATGTGGTGGCATAAAGCTCAACACAGATAGATATAACAATAGGCGAGTTACTACTTTAACATTAAAAGCCTCTCAGAGTTAAAAGTTTATCTCAATAACGTTTTTTATTATCAAAAATTGTGCAAGGAATTTTATATTCACATCAAGGCAAGGAGCAATGTACAGGTGGTAGATCAAGAGAGAAAAAAAGGCCCTACTTGTAGTCATTGTTTTTAAAATCTCTTGGTTGAGAAACACGGGGCTATAACAGGGAACTGATCATCATCCAAACATGTTTTCCGTGACATTAAATGAGTCCATGTATAATTTGTATTCCATTGTCTCTTAAGTTGTAAGAGACTTTTAAAACTTTTTTAAAAAAATCTGTCTTACTCACCATTTTACTTCCACACTACAGTCTATTTTTTTTTTTACTTTATAGATGATGTGGAAACCTGCCTATGATTTTCTCTGTACTTGGGGTGCTCACTACGGAAACAGCTACAGAGATGTGCTACAAGACCTTCAATCAGCTTTGGACAAAATGAAAAACCCTGTGACCAAACAGTGGCGAGAGTTAACGGGTGCTTTAATCCTCGTAAATTCTTTAGATGTTTTGAGAGCCACAGCCTTTTCCTCTTCTGAGGAAGTATAGAAATGAAGGGTTGTTTTGTGGGGAGGGAGAATGATAGGGGGAAATGGTGAGTGTGTGTCAAAGAGAAAAAGCTCAGAAAGTATTACTTAGTTTTTTCAGGTTTGAAAACGTATTTTCTATGTGAAAGCACAGCAGAAGACAAAATCCAAGGATAGGTTTTATAATCAAACATGTATTTTTGTGTATGTTTCAAATGCAAACATTAGGCTGTTTTGTTGTTGAAAAAAGAAAGGAAAACCCTCTCTCCCTTACATAGTTACTTTTAATTTATTTAAGTTAAAACAAATGACTATTAACATAATTACAACACTCAGATAACCAGAAAACTAGAGGCTTTGAGTGTGAACGCTGGAGTTCGACCAGGAGGCAGGTAGGGAGACAGGAGAAGCTAACACATATTTTATGGACCAGCAAAGGGCCACGGGCTCCTGATACCTGCTCTCTTATTTCTCAGTGGAGTTTGCTAGTGGAGTTATTCCAATTTTTCATGTGAAGAAACCAAGAACTGGAGAGGATGCTCAGGTCTATATCGCTAGTGGGAAGTGGGTTTTCCTTTCTGCAAAACCTGGTTCTATATTTTTTAAAACAACCAGAGTACATAGCAAAATAGTAAAAAAAATAAAAATTGCATATTTAAGCGTGTGGGGAAATGGTAACTATTTCATTTTAATTGAAGCTCGCTGCTCTTTTCTACCATCATTTGAAAGACTGCCAAATGGAAAACATGACTTATCATCAGAAATCTGTTGCCTGAAAACATGGACTCAAGTTTCTACCACCTCCCTCCAGCATCTTGGGACCTCGCTGATCCTGGACTTTTCTTCACAATCCTAGTGCAGAGGAGTTCTTCAACTCTCAGGGATTTTTAATAAGAAAGCTTGTTTTTTAAAAAAAAAATATTTTTATTTATCACTGTTGAATGAAGTAGTCTTAACCACAAAACAGTGATATGTGCATGTGTGCATGCTCATGCAAACACTGTGTGTGTGTGTGTGTGTGTGTGTGTGTGTGTGTGTGTGTTGACCAAAGTGTTTTATAAAGCTTTTGGAAGACAAAGATTATATAGGAATTTGGGCCAGTGTAAAGGATAACTGCTGGCAGAGTTCACAAAGAGATGGGCCATGCTTACTCACATGTTCAGTCCTCTGGCCACCTGCCAGTATTATGTCTTTTGGACAGTCATTCATTTATTGTCATTCAGTCGATGGATGGAGTGAGTGTTCCTACTCTGTGGCAGGCACATAGATGCTTGAGGTTAATAATGAAAAAAGAAAAACAAACAAAACCAGCATGATCCCTGACTTCATATTACTAGGTGATAGATCTAGACAATAATACAAAATTAAACAGTTAAATGTAAAATGGCGTCTGTAATAACAGCTGCAGTGGAGAGGCTGGGATACCCAGAGATACGGATATGGGGGCCCATCATCTGAATCAGGGGGATCGTGTAAGTTTTCCCTGGGAAAGAAATGATGAGACCAGAGGAAGATCAGGCATTGCTTCCAGTTTGGGGAAGGTCTTCACGCAGTTCCTCAACCTACTGAAGCCCTCAGGCAGGAGGGAAGCGAAGGCATCCAGGGGAACCCGGTGCAGGGCCCGAAAAGGTGAAGGAGCGAAGAAAGGGCAAACACACCCCCAAAGATAAAGTGGATGAGCTGAATAAGGATTTTGTTTAGGGATCCTGAATAAAACATGTCCATTTGGCTAAAATGTAAAAGCAGAACCCTTTTAGAGCTTTTAATACAGCCGCCCTGGGGCATGTGGTATGCTGGCAAAGGTAACTTGAATTAGGGTTAAAGAACAATCTTTACAGCTTTCAATATTTATATTTGAGGATAAGAGAATACTGCCTGCCCAAGGAGTTATATACACACACTGAGGACGGAATTTATTATAGTTGAAAATAAATTCAAGGAGAGGAAACAAAAACAATTTGTAAATTCAGGACACAATCATTTTAGTGGTAATTTTGCTTTCTTTAGAACATTCTTGGAATCTTTTTAACTTGTCCGCAAAACAGAATTTCGGGAAGTGATAGTAAGGAATTATAACTGGGTTTCTCTAGGTTCCAAGCTCTGAGAAGACAGATCGTGTTAGCTGATTAGGGTAGTAAGATTAAATAAATCACTTCAAGTTTACATTGCATCATGTGTTGCGATTGTGGCTGGGAACTTTAAGAAGAGTTTAAAAAACATGAAAAACATCTCTGTAATTTAAGAATGAAGCAACAGTTTAAATATTAATACACACAAAGATATTTTATAACCATAATAAATCCTTTCAGAGGAATTTTAAACCCATAGCCAAACAGTCTGTTCTTATAAATATATTCTAATATTTTATAAATCATTACTACTTTTCTGAATTTTATATTTTTCTTTCCATAATCGGTTTTCATAATCAGAAAAGATGAACTCCATAATCTTGAATTGCCTCTAATAATTGGCAGCAAATCAAGGGAATTAATAAGGCACTTAAATCCCATCTTTGACATCATTAAAAGCATCAAAAATCATTAATCTAAAACTTCTTTAAGCATTTTGGAAGTGAAAAAGTATAAACAGTTCTTTGAGTTCCTCAGGCTTTTCCTCTAATGACGCATTAGTTCAGTGTTCAGCTTGTAACATGATTTTTCTAAGCAAGCCACAATTCTCTAGTACCTTCTGCTAAAGCCTGAATATAAAGTCCAATTAAGGAGGTGCATGCAATAGTGGGTCATTAACTGTTCACATCAGTAATAGATGCAGCATACTTTTTCTCCTGTAATATAGAAAATACTAGTATATGAAGGTTTGAATGACTTGGGGATGACTAGGTCCCTGGAAAGAGTAGAATACACTACATTAATGGATGTGTTGGTCGAAAAAATGTTGCTGGTGGTAAACAGCTTTGAATATGTGATAGGAAAACACAGAGAAAATACACTTGAAATTGTATAGTGCTGTAATTGGAAATTTCAAAACTTGAATTTTCTTACTGTGCTACTGTAAATTATGTTCTCTGTAAGTGTTTTTTAATGCTTAAGGAATATTCGAGGCAATACAAAGGAAAAGGAGAATAATGAAAACTTATGTCTCTGGAGGCTTTTCTAATTAAAATGGATCTCTTTTCTTCGTATGCGTACAAATTCTTCCCCGCTCTTCTATATGAAGTTTCCTCCCACATGCTGCTGTATAGCTTAGTGAGTGAAGTCCTAAAGGTCATAGGTTGCCATTATGCTAGGTGGGGAAACCCAAAGACATTCTTCAGAATGAAATAATCACCTGGAGGGCTCACTGGAACACAGGCTGCTGGGCCCCATCCGCAGAATTTCTGATTCAGCAGGTTGGGAGCAGTGCCTGAGAACTTGCATTTCTGATCAATTCCCAGGTGATGGTCAGATAAATTCCCAGAGGCTGCTGGTCCAGGGACCCCAATTTGAGAACCAGTGTATTAGTTTCCTTCATTTCTAGAGAAATAAGGGAATCTTTTTTAAACCAGAAAAACTTACTTTTATAGAAACATTTTTATGTCATTCTGTCAGAGAAATTGTTTTTAAATTGTGAAAAACCCCAAAATCACTTTATAAAATAGCTCCATTTATTTGTATAATGTGAACTTTTTTCAAACATGATTAATAAGAGTCTGAAAACTAATTTTGATTATAAAACGAATTAAAATAATTAAGATCTGTGTCTCATTTGAAATGTAAACATATGTGAATAAAAATAGATCAATAATTTGAGACATTTACTCAGTGTGTTAAGATGATTTTGCAAATATATGTAATGATGTACTTTTTTCCTGTAAAATATCTTTGGAGAAAGTCTTGTTTCTACTGGCCCATCACTTGTTAAACTTCTTGTTGAATTTTTCCCCATTGAAAAAAATGTTTTTAACTACTGTGATCAGTAGAACTATCTGTACATCTCACTTCCACTGTAGAATTCCAGAGTGATTACAGGCACTTGTTAATAAGGGAGCCAGATGTTCTCTTTTTTAATGAGTAGTTCTGCATACGAGGAGTGGTGATGAGCTGAACGGCCTCACTCTGACATTGATGTATTGTATCTCATCCTCTGCCATAATTCTCTTTTTAATTATTCTTCTGGGGGTGCCAAGGAGGATCCATGGCTTCCTTTGTTCTATTTTTAGAGGTATCTGAGACTGTCCTTTTGTGCCTGGAAGCAGATTTTAAATGTTCCCAATATTTAAGTCCACACTTACACCATTGGAACGTACTGAGACATTTAATGTATTCATATAATATGATTAGTAGTTGAAAACCCAAACTTAGTCATGATGAAATTACTGGATTTGGGATTGGCAAGTTCAGTGTAATGTTGACCTTACACATGTTAAGTTAAATGGCATAATACGATTAGCTACAATACTTCTTGGAATAGTAGACAAGTCCATTCTGTGGGAGGAAAACACACTTTTACTCCTCGGAAACATGTACTCAATGCTCACCCAGTCCCCATCCATCAGGTAAGTGTGCTTGGGAATAGGAAAGAGTTTGATTATGATCTAACGAAAGAAGACTATTAGGGACAATGGAAAATGGTTTACTCTCTTTGTGCTGGTCTTTTTAAAAAATGGAAAATATCTCCTATTCTTTCTCCTTATTTAATGAATAATAAGATACAAATTAACTGTCACTTGATTTTCTCCAGGATTGATGTAATGAGATTTAAGACTACTCTTTAAAACTACTAGGAAACTTCAGCTAGAGCAAACACAGCAACCCTATGTTGAGACTGTCATTTAGCAGCCTCTCGGGAGCTGGTGTCAGAAAACCTATTTCAAACTGGTTTAAGCACAAAGAATTTATTGTCTCACAGCTGAAAACTCAAATGTAGTTGCAGGCATTTTAGGATTCAGAGCTTGAAGGGTGTGATCCAATAGCTGGTTTGTTATTCCGCCTTCTCTGCCTTTGATTATATTAGTTTCATCCTTGGGCTCCACAAAGCAGCCCAGCAGCTCTGGGCTGTCTCCTCAGGGGGCAAGATGGCTGCAGCAGCTCCAGCCTCTCCTTTTCCCATGTTCCAGTTTCTGGCTGGCATGGCTTTGTAATGTGTCAACTTAGCTAAACTAAACTGTGTTTCCCAGAGTTCTCTTTGCTGAATATTTCTGGTTAAGGTCGACCACAAGAGAAATCTGTGGAGATCACAGTGGAGAAGTAGACACTGTGACTCTTGGAAGGTAGATGGAGGTCAGGCCCCATTGCCGCCCGAACTCAGCTTGCTGGGGGTGGGGCAGGCAGCTGCCTGGCCTGCAGCTCCAGTTTCCCTGGGTTTTCCTCCTTTCTTGTCTCCAAATCCCAGCCAGGTGTGTGTAAATCTGCAGCAAGAGCCCTACTTCTCCTGCCCGTTATCCATAGCAGCGAGGTTGCAGGCGTGGAGTCAGGGCTCTAGAGACCAACATGGCTACCAGACTGACAAATGTAGATGCTAGCTGTCGTTGCTCTTCCCCAGTCCATGTCCATCTTTCCCTTTCACTTAGCCTGACCTATGCATGACTTAAGGTTCAGCACCAGAGACAGAAGAAAGAGCCAGGCAAGACTTTGACCAGCTCTCACGAATGTGTCTGGTCAAATCGCTGTAATAGCTCCTCATTGTTCATCATGGCTCCTGGTTCAGCTTTTCTATGTGAACCTTGATTGATAGGTAGGGCAAGAGAGTATTTCTTGATAATGCCTCAGCCAATCACTGAGGGCTGTAACCAGTGGTCCTTTGATTGGCCAGGCCTGGGTCACATGCTCCTTCCTTGACATCCCATCCAGACCATCCGGTTTGAGAATCATTGATCACCAGGTGAAATGGAGATCTGTTTCTGTAAAGGGGAAGAGACTGATGTTGGGGAAGCCAGCAATAATTTTCCACTAAAAATGTGAGTAAGATTAATCTCAGCACTATTTTCTGTAACAGGAAACATTTATCCATCAAGTGTAATTCAAGAAGCTAGGCATCTGAGTCCTTCTTATGAGACTGGGCAATGGGCCTGCTTCTATAAACTTCCACACTAAATCAAGTGCTAAGTAAATGGAACTTCACCAGCAATATTTACCTTCTATATACCATTAATAAGTTGCTGATGATATCACAGAGCCATTTAAAACCCCAACAAGACTATGGTTTCACTTGGCCCAGAAGGCCCAGGGGCGATCTCCTTAATTGCTCACTCTCAAGCAGCACCCATAACCTACTTGATGCCCCTCACCTGCTGCCAGAAGGAAACTGGGAGAGAAGGGTAGAGGAGGTGTTTCCAGGATGACTGATGGAGAAAATTGTAGTTAGGACCATGTGGCATGACCTGCCTATGAAAAACAGAATGGAGAAATCCTTTGAACAGTCTCTGAATGAAGTTACAAAAGCAAGTCCAAGGTCAGTGGTATTCTGTCTTTCTCATTCATCTGGCTTTTCATTGAAGACCTCTATCTTCTCTTTTGAATCAGTAATAACCTCTAAATACTGCCCAAGGGACAGTGGAGCAGCAGTGTGAACAAGGTGAATTAGGTGGTTCTAAGACTGAAAAATAGGGCAAAATGAAAGGGATATACTGACAAAGGCGGTGCATGTGGTTCTTTTATATGCATAACAACTCTCATAAGATATAATGCACATATCAGACATTTCACCCTGTCCATTTAGAAGAACCCAGAAACATTTTCCTTCTTAAAACATTGTTCCTGTTTAACATATGTTCAATTATATTCACAATTTACTCTGTGTAGAGAAATGCTTTCCAGGAGGAAATATCATATTGTTACATTTTTCAGGGTTGAGAGGAATGCTGTGGGTTGTGGTGACATAAAAGTTTAGCGATCAAGATTATTCATGAGAAAACGAGGAGAGAGCACTTGATGTTACATTCCTAAAGCTATTTTCAAGAGGTTTCACTGATGGCTTAGGAGGGAAAAAACTGAAGTCCTCCTTTCACTCTTAGAGAACCTTCGTATTTTTTCCCACATTTTGATTGCTGAGATTACTATGTGCTTAGGGATAAGAGTCCACATTCTGATATGAAAGCTGCAAACCCACTGCAAGTAATTAATCCACCTGCCCTGGGTTCCCAGCTCAAGCAGGGTTCTAAATCTACCCGTAATGAGAGCTCTGTATTGACCAGTTAGCATAGTATGTGTTTATCTACTAGAAAATTATATTAAGTGCTGTCATAATGAAGTACCGCAGACTGGGTGGCTTAAACAATAGAAATATATTTTCTTACAAATCCAGAGTCAAAGTTTTGTCAGGGTTGGTTTCTGCTGAGGGCCCTGCGGAAGGATCTGCTCCAGGCCTCTCCTGACTTGTAGGTCCTTCTCCCTGTGTCTTCACATGGCTTAACCTTGGGCATGTGTATCTGAGTCCCAATCTCCTCTTCTTTAAAGGACACCAAGTTGGTTAAGAGCTCGCTCAAGTGTGCGAGCTCTGAGCAGCAGCGGTTCGATGCCCAGCCCGAGCTGAGCTGCTGCTGAGCTGCCAACAGGTGGCAGGATGGCTCAGCTAAAAAACAAAACAAAACAAAAAAATTTAAAATATTAAAGCACACCAGTCATTGGGCCTACCCTAAGTGACCTCATGTTAACTTAACTACTTGGCTACGGGGGGTTAGGACTTCAATATACGAATTTTGAAGGGAGACACAATTCAGCCCATAACAAAAGTGATTTGGTCAGTTTCTATTTATTGATTTATTTTAATTTCCTGAAATCAACTATTTTGTTCAATTGCCTTTTAAACAATCATGCAGTTTCTCTATCACAGGCAAATCACAGCTGCCTGAGAAGCGATGGGCCCATTTCAGAGCCACAGACTTGTAAGGGCATGGCATGCCTAGGCAGCTAGAACTCTTATAAGACATTGTCATTTCATTTCAGGCCAGATATACCATCAAACTCTGCTTATTTGAACTAATAAAAAATATCGGTGTAGATAACACATGCTTGTAGATAATGTCCCTTGGGTTTTCTCTGTTGTCGCTGTAGGATCTCAGTGCTACAGACAAAGAATGCTCTTTGGACAGGTGAGAAACTATGGAGATGGTCTAAGAATAGAGTGACTGTCCTAGGTGGGGACTGTGACATGAATCTTGGTTTCTCGATTTGTTTAATTTTTGGTGAGCACTGACATGCCCTGGGGCCACCATCTGTTATTGAGTGAGCCACAAAATGGAAGGCTTAGCTAACCCAGGAAGCATACTGAGCAAATCTGGGAAATTTGCCTTGAAGAGATGGTGGGTGGGGAAAAAAGATGAGATATGCTGGATGGGCTCTGTGGGGGACGAGATAATACAGAACAGGGATGTGAGAGACAAGGCAGAAAAACATCCAACTGGGAACTGCCATAAGTCTCCCCCAGTTGTCATTTTTTATGGTCCTTTCAGTGTAATTCGGGTAAACAACCTTTCCCAGTTTGCCTGGACTGAGGGATTTCCTGAGACTTGGGAATTTCACTGCTGAAACCAGGAAAGTCCCAGGCAAACTGAGACAGTTGGTCACTCCAGGTGCTAAGCACTGAGAGCCACTGTTAAAAATAAAAGTGGCAACTGGGAAGGATGACACTTCAAATCGTTGTCTGACTTTTTGCACCGTAGCTCACATAATCACAATAGTTAGACCTGTGTTAATGAATGGACATGGGATATTTTTATAGGTAAAGGGAGTCATGAAAAGTACCAAGAATGTGTCACTGACTTGGAGACAGACT